GTGGTGTGTGTGTGTGTGTGTGTGTGTAATACTAAAAATATAAAATAAATATATTTTATAAATTTAACAAATAAATATTAAATAAATTCTATACTAAATTCTAAATAAATTCTACAAAATATATTCTTATATAGACTATATTCTAAAAATATTTTAAATACAAAAATACAATACAAAAAAAGATGCATGATGCGTAGTCTGTGTGGGGAGTCAAATAAGTCTGTGAATCGTTTAAATGAGGTATTCAAATAAACAGATTAAGTAAAATTAAACAGACTTTTTTTCGATGTCAGTTTCGATGATTATTACCTCAGTTTGCTCGGCTGAATTCAAAATAAAATAACCAGAAATTATAGATGTAGCATTTTTTGCCATGCAATGCTACTCATTAGCAAAAGTAGCTTGCGACACTGTTTTGAAAAGTTACTAGCGTTGAGGCTATTAATTACTCACTGACTTCTCACTGACCTCTCACAAACAGAGTCAAGGATTTCTTTATGCTATAGGCTACAATGTCATGCTGTCGAAAACTTTAGTGAAGTAAATAAAAACCATCAAATATTTTTAGACAAGTCTGCTACAGCTACACTTCAAACACAAAAAGCCGCACACATGACATTCATCACACCTTCAGTACCTCACTTCCTCTCTCAGTAACCCAAACCATGCTAATTCCTATGCTGCCACATTAAACCACAATGAAAAATAAACTGAGAGAATGAACCATGGATGATGTTTTCTTGGTCTGCTGTCCAAAAGCCATTGCTATTGCATTATAGCGGTTCCTCGACAGTTGCCTAATGTATTTTTTTAAGAAACCACAACAGGGACATTTTGCCAGGATAAATCCTTGACTCACCTTAGCCTACAAAGATATTATAATTAGACACAATCCACCTCTCAAATTCTCACAGCTACAGGAACGATCTTATATTTCCATCTACTGCCATTATACAGTTACATCAAATTATTTTGAATATGACTATAATTTCCAAATCAAACTGACTGACTCCTTCCGGTCCTGGCCCACCTCCCTTTTGTCCCACAATGCTCATGTTCCTGCTCTGGGCCTCCTCTCACACAGCTACTAATGAGCCCTCTAATCAACAAATGGCTTCTTCAGAAGAAGCTCTTATTAAAATCTGAGAGAAACATGAAATGACAGTGGCACAAAATGCTACGCACATGTGAGGCTTTCAACATTTAATAGAGGACGTTTTAAATGTCAGAAAGTTCTACGCTTGGCCTTCACGCTGAAATAAAACCATTTCAAAGTGAGTACTTAAATGCCCATTATGTAAAATTAAGTTCTCACATCGTGTCAAGGATTCAAGCGATGCTAAATGAATGGTGGAATTATAAAGGTGCTTCACAGCGGACCGAAGCGCAGCCAAGAGCCCACTCTTCCAGGACTGAGAAGCTGATCACAATCCATGGAAGTATTGTGTAGCGTTTGGCAACTTCACTGCTGACTTCAGCGATTCAAAGAACACACGTGTCTGCTCAGCTTCCCAAAGATCTGAAAAACCGGCAAATGTTAAGAAATAAAACAGATGCTGAGATTAGGGCTGGGCGATATAGCTGACAAAGTTTTATCACAATATTTTTCAGCCTTTTGGCAACATTCTACCATACTACCATTCAAAAATTTGAGGTCAGTAAGATATTTTTTAAAGAAATTCATATTTATTCAGATTCATTACCAAAGTGACAGTATGACCTTTACAAAGTAAAAAAAAAAAAAAATGATATTTCAAATAAACTCTGTTCTTTTGAACTTTCTATTCATCAATAAATCCTGAAACATTATACTGAAACAATATATTGGTATTCATATATTTGCTCTGATTTTTCTTATTTTAATCAAGCTGTTGTAGCCACATGTAGATTCAAAATGTTTAAAGCAAGAAATAAAATTAAGTAATATCTTAAATTAATTTTTAATTAAATGCGCTGAAACAGACAGTTTGAACTAATTCACAGAAATTAAACAAATCTTATAACTCTAATATACAAACTACCGTCTGTATATTATATTGTGTGTGCAATTCGAAAGTTTGGGATCAGTAAGATTTTTAATGTTTTTTTAATGGAGTCTCTTATGCTCATCAAGGCTGTATTTATTTGATCAAAAATACAGAAAAAAAACTATGATATTGTGAAATATTATTGCAATTTAATTTATTTATTTTTTATTTTAATATACTTTAAAATATAATGTATTTCTGTGACACAGCGCTAATTCAGCCATTACTCCAGTCTTCAGTGTCACATGATCCTTCAGAAATCATTCTAATATGCGGATTTATTATCAGTGTTGAAACTGTTGTGCTGCTTAATATTTTTTGGAACCCGTGATACTTTTTTCTTTGATTCTTTGATGAATAAAAAGTTAAAAAGAACAGCATTTATTCAAAATATAAACAGTTTCAAACAATATGTCTTTACTATCACGTTTTTATTTATTTAACACATCTTTGCTGAATAAAAGTATTAATTTCTTTTCTTTCTTTTTTTTTTAAAGGAAAGAAAAAATGTACTGACCCCAATCTTTAAACAGTAGTGTACATTGTAACACAACATTTTTATTTTGAATAAACACTGTTCTTTTTAACTTTTTTATTTATTAGAACTCAGGAAAAAAAGTATCATAGGTCCCAAAAAATATTAGACTGGAGTAATGATGCGGAGAATTCAGCTTTTCTTCACAGGAATAAATTATATTTTAAAGTATATTAAAATAGAATACTGTTATTTTAAATTGCAATAATATTTCACCAAATTAGTTTTTTTCTGTATTGTTTTATATAAAAATTGATACAGCCTTGATAAGAAACTTTCAGAAAATCTTACTGAACCCAAACTTTTGAACGACAGAGTATAAAATCAGAGACTATTAAAACTCTGACTTGACTCTCTCATACTCACAATATCATTTTATCAGAGGAAAATCATTGCTAATATTTGAAAAACTGTCCATCCCTTGTGTTTACTCATATATTACACTGTTCCTTCACAAAACCTCTTGGGAAAGTGTGCAGATTTCTTTCCGTGAGATTCCTTCTGCTCATCTCAACATTTGAGAGAGCACAGCCCACTTTCCTTAGCAAGCCCCAACTGAAGAGATGGCCAGAGGGAGCTTGTGCGAGCTCAAGCTGTGAAATTTCTGTAAAATCAGACTATTAAAACTCTGACTTGACTCTCTCATACTCACAATATCATTTTATCACAGGAAAATCATTGCTAATATTTGAAAAACTGTCCATCCCTTGTGTTTACTCATATATTACACTGTTCCTTCACAAAACCTCTTGGGAAAGTGTGCAGATTTCTTTCCGTGAGATTCCTTCTGCTCATCTCAACATTTGAGAGAGCACAGCCCACTTTCCTTAGCAAGCCCCAACTGAAGAGATGGCCAGAGGGAGCTTGTGCGAGCTCAAGCTGTGAAATTTCTGCAGACAGCTGCAGGGCTTCTGTCTGATGTTGGACAGACACCAAACTGTATAAAAAGAAAGCGAATGTAGCAGTACAAACTCAAATATAATTTGGTGCACTATAAAGCCCCTTCCTTCTGTGGGAACTGAACTGACAAGGACATTTGGAGACCTTAAAGGGGTCATATGATGCGATTTCAATTTTTCCTTTCTCTTTGGAGTGTTACAAGCTCTTGGTGCATAAAGAAGATCTGTAAAGTTGCAAAAACTAAAGTCTCAAATCCAAAGAGATATTCTTTATAAAAGTTAAGAGTCAGCCACGCCTACCTAAAACGGCTCGTTCTAACATGCCCCCACATACCTAGGTCACTATCTGGGAAGATTTGCATAACGCCGCCCAAATGTTCACGCAAAGAAAGTGTAAAAAAGCGTAACTTTTATTCTCGCTGTAGTTTTGTTGTTTCCGCCGCCATGTCGTAAAGAAAAATGCTTCGTTGTGAAAGCGAAACTACTTTGTTTGGTCTTCCAAAAGAGGACGATATCCGCTTTGTCATGCCTAGAGCTGATCCATGCTGGTCGCTGAGGAAATACATCAACTTCGCACTTTGGATCGCCGGATCGGCTTTCACCGTGGACAAAGCGGAGTCCAGCCCGGGGTCGTCACATGTGGTTTCTTTTTAGCAGCATCATATGACCCCTTTAAGAAACACTGACAGCAGAAAAGGTGACTTGTGGCTACATGAAGGATATTGGTGTTCAAAAGTACACATGCTACTGATATCATAGCTGTATATATGCTAAAAATATATCCAACCATGCAAGCTACTATTGGGAAATAATTAAACCGATAAAGGCCCGATATACTTCAAACGATATCGAAGAACGAAGCTGTCGCTTAGCCTTTACGAACTTCTTTTTGCCCTCAAACAAAGAACGAAAAAGAACTTTGTTTGAAGTATATAGGGGCCTTAAGGCGGCGTCCCATTAGCTGATCCTAAACAATTCAATTTTGATCAGCAGAACCTCACCTACTCAATGATTTGGCTCAACTCTTTTACAAGAATGGAAAAAAGGTGACAGACTCAAAGATTATGGAGTAACTTTTCTCTGCAAATGTGTGTGATTTGTTCCTTCGGGGCTTGGTGTAGAAATATTTTAGAAACAATATTAGAAATAATATTTCATTAAATTACCAAATACTCTTCTGCCGTTGCTTGCTTATATTATTATTAGTAATTTAAGACAATGTGGCTTCGAGTTTGCTGAGGAAAAAGTTATGATCAAGCAAGATAGTGGCTTGTCCTTCTTCAGTAAAACTCTTCTGGTTGAACACCACAATTCGAAAAGCAGATATAAAGAAAAATCAATCAATCCGACATTTAAGCCTAACAAAAAAAGCCCACAACAAACCAAAACAGAACATATCGAGCTGTTTTTATCTCATCACATATGAGCAGATAATCTCAGCAATGCTATCATTTTCTATCTAAGCTCCAGATGATGGGATCATGAGATCACAGGACCCCTGAATATAAGAAGAGCACTCTGCTCTCCCATGTCTCTTACCTTTGCCTGAAAGAGCCTGTCTTCCAGAGATTCAATATCTCACATTTACACCTTAGAATGAAGAAGATGCATCTTGAAAGCTGAAGCTGGTCTAGAGGCAGAATGGACCATACACATCCGATAGGAGAATTTGTTCTTGGGGAAAAGAGACTAGCTATGTTCACAAGACAGTACGGCAAGTCATTGGGTCAAAGTTGACCAATCACAGGCTTATACCTCTAAAAGGTTTACGGACATAATCCTGTGGCTAAGTGAGGTTACACCTAAAGCCATGCCTGGCCAAAGGAGCTGAAGTAAATACAGAACTCTGTCACAGAAAGAGCCATGTTCAAATCATGTCTGCACTGATTTTAAGGTGCAGCCACATTTACTGTTGTTCTGCGAAATCCAGTCATTTTAATAGGATTCTATGCAATCATGCATTCCTGCAAAAGATTTCCCCATGCAGATTTCAGATTTGCCCCAAAGGCCAGCAGAAAGATGCTTGGTTTGAAAATGACTTCTGTGTGAGCTGTAGGGGTGTGCGATATATATCGTCTGCGATAATATCGTAATTGTTGTTTTAACGATGTGCGATTTGACATTATCGAGTATTTTGCAAAAACCATTCAAAACATCCCTACAGAGCGCACGCATACATTACGTGAAGTCTAGACTAGTGCGTGTGCGCATTTAGTGTGTTTTCTTTCACTGCATGATTCAGTCTATTAAAATGCATTTAGAATGATCACAAATTCAAGACATGATGGCAGAAAATTTATATATTTATACCACTTCATATAGTTCTGTGCTTCATACTTCCCTACACTGTTTATAATAGATAACGGACCTTTTTGCCTGCAAAATTTCACCATTATTTCACATCAGATGACAGCAAAGGTAATGTAAATGAAAAAACTAAGGTGCATTTGAGCATGCACAATGAAATATCTATTAATGGCTGATATATATCCGATATTAACCCCATGTCTTCTTAGCAGACATGAAAAAATGAATGGAGAGGCAATTTTACTATGCTTAAGAGGTTTTATTACCATTTTGACACCACTGTAAACCTTTCAAATCAGAATGACCAGAGGTGTGACGTATGTTTGAATTACATTTGCAGTTAATGGCTCGTGCACTGGGCCAGTAAAATACAAATGAGCTCAGATTTGCTACACAAAATCACTAAATACATCATCTGTGTACTTAGATTCTATTTTTCATTTCTAGTTGCTGTTTAAAGCATTGGTTCTCAAAGCAGACTATTCACTTTAAAAAAATGAAAGATTTATACTTGTATTCTGAGTCACAGAAATAGGGCGCTATAAAATAATTTTTTCCCCTGCCAAATTCTGTTTTGTCACATTTTCATTTTTTTGTTGTTTTCGATTCCATTTTAACAGTTTACGGATGCATTAATCAATTGAATTCATAAAACGTTAACAATTACATGATCTATCCGCATGTTAAAAATACTAGATAAAATGTTATGAAATGTGTTTTTCTTTTTTTTTTTAGAATTTTTAAATGGATTTTCTATTCTCAAAAAAGATGGTAATCAAATGAATGCATACAACTTTACAATAAAAAAAAAAATTATAAATATTAAGTTTTGTAATCTGTGATAATCTCTTAAAAATAATGTTTTTTATTCAAATGTATTATTGTTATTGAATTATTAGTGCTTTAAGTAGTAGTAAATATGGGTTTAATTAAAATTAAAATACAAATACTTTTATTCTAATTATTATATCAAATGGTTTAAATCAATGGGTCTTCGAATGAGCCTTTGCAATTCTGACAAGCTAAATTTATGTGAAAAGACATATTTGTCCTTTGTACATTTCCAGCGGATTTCATCGGTTCCCATTAAGAAAGGTTACAATTTCAGGAGACCAAATCTGATGGCATTTAAACCTGCTGATGTTCTCGTCTGGCGAGGAAGAAAAGGTCATCCCTGGTGACCGATTAAGACAGAGGCTGGATGACAGACGCCACATGCACGGATGAGAGACGAATAACATTAAGCTAGACCACCCATACGACAAAGAGCGATGCTGAAACTGAAGACCCGAGCCGAAACAATATCTTGTGAACTTTCACTTTTTGATCTTGTCACTGAATATCAAGTGTTACTGTATATCTCTGAGAGCACATACTGTGACGTGGTGTCAATGTACATTGAATCGTTAAAGGTGTATAGAAAATGACGGCAAAGATCTGCAACTCATTAAGGATGGCCATTTGCATCTCAATGGTCCTATAGCAGACTGCTTGAAAGAATGATGGGAGCACGGGGACAAAACGCATCTTTGCATTTAGTTTTAGTTACCTGCTGTATGTTGCAAGGTGAAGGTGGGAGCTCTCAATTACTGCCAGCTGAGAAGGGACTGCTGTGTATCAAGTTACACTATGTAGGTCACTTGAATGCATCCTAGATCCCCCCAAACTGACACAAGACACCTTTAATGGAACCCCATCTATGTGTTTTTCTTTACAGCAAAGTGCTACAGTGAAGTTTCCATTAAAAAAGCAAAAGGCTCTAACACATTAGTCAATTGACGTCTGGCACAAGTTCTCCTACACCCTATCCAATAACCTTAGCATATGAATAATGAAGTTCCTCCTGTGTTGAAACCACATAAGCTATATGGATGAGAATTTTATTGAAGACAGCAGCAACAGTACAATCCAACAACTGATTTGCCAAAGGGGTTCAAGTTGACTCTGAAGGAAATAAAGGAGTTCGAGAGATTCTAAACAATACATACAGTTTAATAATTAGGACCAGCTAGCAAAACTAATACTAATTCAGGAAACAGCTACTGCATAACAAGACTTTTACTTCAGTCTCAGACAGAGTAGATGAGCTCTCTGCACTAACGTCTGCCACAAATCATGGCGCAAAGAAAGTCTTAAAATTAGGGCTAGGTATCAATTTGATTCTGATTTGCAAGCTGTCAATTTGATTCAATTTAAATAAACAAAAAATATAACTTCTGCTGCGATTCAGAATTATGATTCAAGTGTGGTGGTACAGATACAGTGGAAAAGAAACAGTGAGAACAGTGAACAGTTCTGACCATGTAGCAAGTAGGCAGTAGCGGCTCCTGACCGTAAATTTAGATTGTGGTTCGTAGCGCTAGTTTATAATAAACTCAAAAAATGTATCATCTTTATAGTCCAATCGCTGAATACATGCACACACACTTTGGGCAGAGATCTAATGTCCTTGCATTATTCAGCATGTGGGCTAATGTTGATTGACAAGACAGACTTGGAAGTACACACACACGTGGAATGCTTAATATTGTCTCCGAATGTTGATTTAGAATGTTACAAGTTGTAGAAAAATTTAAGTGAGGAAACGACTATCATGTCTCATCTCAAAACAAACACTTTCATTAATTTAAAACACTACTCCACGTAGGAAAAACAGACATGCCAGTTAGTTTCTGAGCTGATGCAGCCACATATAGCTAGAGCTGACTGATATCGCCCTGGTCTGGAGCAAGATAAGGTAATGTGAAAATAAGCAGGGCAGTCTCAAAACTGCTCAAATAGCTCTCAATTAGAACGTGCTGCAGTTCCATTTTTCACCACATATTTACATTGCAAAATTTGTGGGGCACTGTTGAGTTCGGGAGGACACCGGCACGACTACCCAACTTAAGTTCAAAGGATACTTCACTTTTTATGCGTACACGAGGGACAGCGTACAGTGCGCGTGACGCGAATTCCGTCATCAGAACAGTACGTGTTTACTGTACGCGCACCACCCGATTTTTGTAACCGTGCATATACTTTGTACGAAAGTGTGAGCGAGAGGGTATGAAACAGCGCAGCAATGGTTAGACATTAGACATGGATGAAGCTTTCTAGAGTGCATGTGTTGACCGCCCGCGTTCGCTCATAACATCAAAAGGAGTATACTTTGAAAGGTTTCGCATTCGACTATATGCATACGCTAGTGTAAGCGCACAAAAACGAAGTATACTTGGGGCTTAAGTATCATTTTACATACCTGCCGAAACTTGTGATGAATTTTAATGTATCCTGCACACTTTATGACTTAAATTGTCAAGAATTTCCGAAAAATATTTGTTGCAGAACGCTGAACGCATTTACAGTTTATTATTTATTCAGTTTTGATAGAAAAAATACCATTTAAATATGAATCCTGTGTGTCTCTGTGTGAATGAATGGAATAGACTTGCGGTTTCGTTTACTACATACATACTAAATTGCATGACGCTTGCGGTATTTTCAGCCTCTGCCACCTCAATATGTAAGTATATGAACACATGAACATGATCTCTAGAACTGCTCTGAGAGTCACTTCATGAGCATTTTACCATTTCTTTTGAGAAAAACTATTGTCATATACAAACAGAAACTTAAATGTTTTCACAGCCACCAGTCCAAACAAAAGTTTGGTTTAACTTGAAGAAACCTTGACAGAAATATTACTTAATGTAATGATAGTACTACTACTAACAATAAAATTATTATTAAAACATTATATTTAAAGGAATATTTACCAGAAAATTTGAAAATAAATTAGTATTTATTTTTCTAAAAATCAATTAATTAGAGATGCTTTTGATTATCAATATTGAATGAAACTATTAAAATGGAATCCAGAAAATTAATTAAAAAAAACAGAATTTTGTAAAATATAACACTGAATTTGAGAAAAAAAAACACTTTATAGGGCCTTAAAAATTAAATTTTTGTTAAATTGCTGTTTAATATTGTAAGTTTCATGATTACAATTAATTAGACCAAATGGAATCCAGAAAATTAATTAAAAAAAAACAAAGAATTTTGTAAAATATAACACTGAATTTGAGAAAAAAAAACACTTTATAGGGCCTTAAAAATTACATTTTTGTTAAATTGCTGTTTAATATTGTAAGTTTCATGATTACAATTAATTAGACATGCTTTTGATGAATAACATTTAATTTAACCCTTAAAATAGAGTCTAGAAAAATTAAAACGGAGAAGAAGAAAAAAAACGGAATCTGGAAAAAAACGGAAAAATAAAACTGATTTCATAGGGCCCTAAGCCTGTCACACAGTACATAGTCATATCTTGCTCGCCCGCCCACTGGTGTATGGACGTTCATCCAATTCCCATGTTAATCCCAACTAAGCCTTCTTCACTGTATCCAGCGAGGGATAAATAAAATATATCAGATATTGGCCAAAAAAAAAAACAGGCTCAACTGTGGAAATGAAGCCATCCGAGCCATTCCTCTAAGCTGAGCCCAGATTCACACAACAGCCTCCAGAAGAGAGGCTTAAAGCCAATGCTGCATTATGCTAAGAGGCAACAGGAGAGGGTTCACATACAGCCTATTCCCCAGGCTCCAGGTGATACTGTGTGGTCTTAAGTGTGAGAAACGGCCAGTGAAAGCAGAACACCCTGCCTATGGAAAAACTAGCTTTACTTGCTCATAGAAAATAGATTTTCTGCCTTTATTGAGAACAAAAGGTCAGTAAAAAGTTAAAGCTTATATGCTCCTTCTACC